CCCCGGCTACAGTCCCCCGCTGTGTCGCCTTGCAGAGCTGGACCTGAATACCAAGTGCATCGTGGAGATGGAAGGGAACCAGACTGTGCTTCACCCTCCGCCTTCCAACACCAAGCAGGGAGAAAGGTAAAACCCCAACTCGCCGTGCTCCAAATGAAAAGCCCAGCCGCGCCTCCTCCGCCTCACCCTCGCAGGCGCTTGGCTTTGTTAGGGGAGCGGCGGGGTCCCGCTGATCTTAACCTGGTGCCTTTCGGGGCAATGGTCAAGGGCCGGCGCTGGCCGGGGCTCACTGTGTTGGGCTTGCTGCTCCGGGAAGCAAGGGGCAGACCTTCTTTCTTACCTGATCTCCTGAGGGGAGTCGGAGGTACCCAAATTGGGGTGTGCAGACAGAAGATCCCTACTGGCCTGCCTGGTTTATAAGCTCATTCTTGATTAACTGCTCAAAAAATGAGCTGTTGGTTAGGCAAGGACTTAGACTGACTCTGTGTACTGTTTTCACAAATTTGCCTGGAGTGGAGTGCAGGCTGCTAATAACTTGATGTAACCTGTGAGGGAGCAAGAAGCAGAATCTGAATTTTATGCGAGTGATGGTATTTTTTTAAGTTTGTTTACTAGGTTTTAACGTATTTGCATTTGAAAAGGCTGTAATTGCTAGATCCTCTATTAATTCAGTGTCGTTCTGTGAAGTAGTCTATGAAAATATGCTAAAATAATTTTGAAATGTGGCATTTAGTTGTGATGTCCCAGTACAGAATACCCTTGGAAATAATCCAAAATACCAATGCACTAGACTGTAAAAATAGATCAGAACAGGAAAAGATTTCTTTCCTTTTTTTTTTTGGAAAGATGGGGAGGTACAAGGGGAATAGTTACGTTGTACGCTTTATCTGTTCAGTTACCTGTTGACTGCTCAGCTTAAGTTGATCTGTTTAATGCCAAGAATTGTGAAATCATTTACATGGTTATCAAGGTTTTAATCTGAACATGTTCCTACTACTCAAGGTTTTATTAAGAATATTTCCGATCTAGTTCATAGTAGTGGTTATGAAGAAGCTAATGTCAGCTTTTTTCTTCAAAGGCAATATCATGCTTTTGTAGTTTTACAGCAGAAAAGGTTGACACATTTTTTAGTTTTACATGTCCAAGATGTGAAGCTGCTTCTCACATTAATCCACATACGGGAATGTAGCTGTAATCACACCAGTTTAATTTAAATCCAATTTGCATTGTCTTCAGTGTGGCTTTGCATTGTTGTGGCTAATGTGCTGGCCTGAGTCTTGAAAGATCTGTGCTTGTTTCCTGCCTCTTTCACAGATCTTTATGAGGTCTTCTACAAGCCATGCTGCCCCTGTGGGCCTTAGCATCCCATCTGTATAATGGAAATCTTATTTTTCTGGAGACTATTTTATTTTAGAAAGTACGGGTTGGGGTTTTTTTCTCTCCTGTACATATAGCCTCTATAACAACACTGCTATAAGAGTTACATTAAGTCTAAAGTGAGTGGATTTGACAGGTATAGAACATGAAATACAAATCAAGCTTACAAAGTAAGAACAGAACTAAGATTTAAATATCATTACTTTAGTAGACTAAAGAGTCCAAGGGCCAGATGGCTTAGTAAAGAGCCTGTTGTGTGAATTTTGCTTGTTGTGCATGTTGGCCTGCAGGTATTCAGTGGGACAGTGCTGTGACTCTCTTGTCTCTTGGGAGCTTTTGTGGCTTGTGTTTATCTGGCTTTAATACCTGTAATATATATAAGTTGTCTTACTTGCTTGGAATTTGCTTCTGGTTCTGTGCCAGGAGCCTTCCGGGTGAGCTGCGACACTTGTGTGCGACCTCACTGTTGACAGCTGCGTTGGCAAGTGATAGCTGTCCTGCTTGCAGCCCACAGTGAGGCTGGGATTTGACTGGCTGTTACATGTGTAACTTGTGTGTTTGAAACAACTGCCTCGTGTTACTGGAAATAACAGTCAGAAATACAGATCCGAAGTAACTCACACCATGCAAACATGTAGTTTGGGTACCTTCTTAGTAGCAGATGTTGTATGTAACCTGCTGAGGTGCCTAATGGACTCCGTACTTGCCTAGTGCCTTGTGAAGATCCTTATGTCTTCTTCAGTGCTAAACTGCTGATTTCTGGGTTTTTAGTTCAAGATAGTTTAATTTCTCATGATGAAAAATGAATTCTGTTGTTGTATGTGTACCCATCATTAAATGTCTGTATAAACTGGCTCTGAATTGCCGAGTAGTTGCTGCTTGTACTTGGATCAATGCCTTGGCAGGGCTAGAGATGTCAAATGGATTTTTGGTTTTCTTTGTGTAGTTTGTTTTTATATAGCTCAACTGGATTTTTCTTTCAGAGCAACCATGTCATTGCAGAAATGATTTTGCTTGTTAGGGTGATTAATTGGTCTGTCTCTATGCATTATTTTAATATTCTATTTAGTCTTACCTTTTCCATTTTGCATTTTATCTTTTTATATGGAAATTTTCCTTTCTAGCTGAATGGAAGTACAAGTTTGTACTGCACTTTGGAATAAGAATAAGTAGCCTTCTAAAGCAAATTCTGTTTCCAGGGCTGCTTTTCTTAATTCATCTGAAGCCAAGAGACTATAGGGTGTGGGGAGTAGAATTCAGGACCATGTTCTTTATTTGTTTTGTTCTCTCAGTTACAATCTTAAAAGATACCGACAGACTTTTCAAAGTAAAATTAGGTCACTCTTTAATAATTATAACATCTGCTCTTGGAAGTAGGGTTAGGGAAATCTTCTGTAAGGAGTTATTGAATTAAATCTAAGTTCAGATGCACGCTGTTGATCAGTCTTTAGGTTTTATTTAAGGATAGTTCTGAAGGATTTTCGATGGGCAAGTAATGCTCATTTTACAAGTGGTGAAAAGAGCCTAAACTGCCAGACAAGTGCTGTCATTTGTCCAACTTTCACTATCGTATTAGATCTAAAGCAGTAAGTTATAACCATAAATTAGAACAGGGTTCTGACTGCATTTTTCTAACTGCTAGACCACACAGCATCTGCACCTTAACAAACACAGCTACAAAATAGTAATTGTTATTAAATACAAGTGTTGTGTCTTTTTATAAGCAGCAGGCCTGCTGTTCCCCACGTACACATGACTTGGAGTGTTCTAAACTAGTGAAGGAGGAAAACAGAAACATACTAAAACTGAACAGTGAGTCTGAAAGTTCAGCACAGGAAAATCTTTATCGACTGAAATAATAGGAGGCAGAGTTCAGAAAGGAACGGTTTTCATTAGCTTATATCAGGTATAATCTCCGGTGCTGGCAAAGTTTTTGTAAGTTGGTGGTTGGACTTCATACCTTTAACCCTTGTTTTATTAGTGGGAGTAGTTTCTTTTACATCTGCCTAAGTGTGCTTGTGTGTTGTTTAGCTACTTCTGTCTCTCGTCCATTTCCTCCCTCAAACCAATACAGATTTCCCCAGAAGAACATTCTGTCTTTCTGGAAACCCTCTGTTGTGCTTTGTGTCTTTTTTTCCTGTCTTCACCTGGGAATCTGTATTTCCTTTCTCAAAGTACACTCTCCCTGAAAAAAATGTTCTAACTTGCAGTCTTTTAGAAGTGGGTATTATGTTTCAAACCCAATTGTGTACATCCTGCTGTCTTCATTTAAATGTTGGCAGTTGGCAGTAAGGTAAAGCATTAAAATGTAACTATGAGGTAATTACAGTTTGGAGTTACAATGTTTCAAAATATTTTGGTTTTTACAATGGAAATTTCACACCTCTACATCTATGAAAGATCTGACTTTACGTTAGGGATTTTGTTTCTTAGTAGGCCAAATTAGGTTTTGCTGGGTTCTTCCCCTGCTTTTGATTGTTAAAATATGCTTTCTGCCCTTTCCTTTAAGCAACAATTTTAACACATAGGATCTGAAAAGTTTTAGTTCCCTGACAACAGTTCTTCATGACACGATTTTTCCTTTAGTAAGCAAAGCATTTGTCTTGACAGAAATAAACAAGGAACTATGGAGATGGTAGAATTGAAATAATATTTCAGCTGCAGTTTTGACTGAAACAAATATTCATCTATTGGGCAACTTACTCCATTAAAGCACAGCACCCTTGTGTGAACTTTGCCTTATTAAAAATTTCAGGGCAGAAAATAAGAAAAAAATCACCAGAGCGTAGAGCTGAACTTAAAATTACCACTTTTTTTTTGTTATTATTAATTTATTTCCTGAAAGTATCTTTCTTGCCTTTATTTAAAAAACATTTTATGGCTTGCTTGCTCTGTGGTCTTCCATCCTCATTTTGATCACAAACAAGCAGCACCAAGGCCCAATTCTACTTAGGTAAAACCCTTGCAGCTCTAAACTACTAAGAATGTGGAGGCTTTTTGGTTTTTTGTTTTGTTTTTTTGGGTTTTTTTTTTGAGTAGGTTTAAGCTCTTTAATAAAATAAATATATAGGAAGAGATGTGAGTGTATCTAGTTTTTGTAGCTCATGATACTTTCAAAGATATCTGAAGCACAGACTTCATCCCGAGGCAGCTTGTCCTAAATTTCTTGTTTCCAGAAAACAGCTGTTGCTCCCCCTGCCTCAGAGAAAACATGGTTCTGGATGGTCTTTAGTGCATAGTCCTTTGTGTGATGGTTGTGGCACTTAATCTTTCTGGATATGTTGCTTTGAATAGTATCAGAGATGTGAGAAGAGCGCTGTTGTAGGGCGGAGATGCATTTCTGGTAATGGTCACTTTCTGAGACTGAAACCTGTGGAAGCTGAAGTAGGACAGCTGCTAATTATGTCCTTATCGGAAGGAATGATCAGTGACATCATGCCTTTGATGAAATATACTTAAAATTATCACCTCTCTGAGGTAGGTCATAAAATAATAGCAGGCAGCAACTTTTATCTTTGTGTGCAGGAAATTGTAAAAGCAATCTGACTTAGACCTCTTCTGTTACCTTTCCTGTTAGACATCCATGTTCAGGATGTGAACTGTTAGCTTTGAACCTTTGCAGAAGAGGTGTATTTGAGTTGTGAGATATGTGTGGTTGGAAAATGGCATTTTGGGAGCTATTTTTGCTTTGCTTTGAGTCATTCATGCCTCAGATGGGACACTAGATGCAGTTCCTTGAAATAACTTTT